GATCAATAGTTTTGTAGTTCGAATTTTAGTGACGTCATGTGAAAACCAGCTATAAAAAGGACGAGGGTACTCGCGATTCGTCGTACCTGTTAGGAGTTAAAAAACGCGGTTTTGGTACCTCTTTAATAGGGTGTTCAACCTCAAAAGGTCCACAGCGGGAGGTTTTGCGAGACCTTTTAGGATATTGAACTGGAAAGTGCGACAGGAGATATTTGAAAATCAACTGAATTTCAATTTTGTCGCAGAATTGCTACGTCAAGCCACGCCCTACAAAACAGGATCTTGGTACCTGTAATGGGTTCTTTTCAAAATTTCTGAAGAGCACTCTCGGCCCTCCCGGGCTATGGTCCGGCAGCTGACTCGACTCGTGCGATTCATTCCTCGCCAACAATGATTAATTTGTATCGTCAATGAAAGTAGTTTGCTATTTATACGTATTTAAAAACATGAAACATGAAACACGGTTTGGCAGTTTATATGGCGTACAGGTGAATAAAAAGTATCATTACTGTGAGGACTGTGTGAGATGCAAAATTTCCTCCAAAAAGATAAACGGTCATAAAACGCTTTCCTTCGGAAAAAATACAACAACAACATCCTCTTTATTACCCTTTTTTCACTAATTAATACAGAAATATATAAAAAAAAATTGCTAAAAATTAGGGTTCTGGCAACCAGAAATGAAGTTGATTGTTTATGCTTCAACAGAGTTTTTCCCCTGGTTTATTGACGATTTAGGTTGAGAAAACTCACGTCCTCCAATGATAACGCTTACAGCCGATTGCACATTTTGCTCCCGTTTATCATCTGTCAACAAGCGGCGACAAATTGTCTCCACCGTGTATTTTATTGTTCGAGTTTGCAAGTAGATGAAATTTGCATGAATTAAAGCTTTATTCACATCGGGCAAGACTGATCTTGCCCGATTTCCCGCCAAAAGACAACGGAAATTCACACCCGCTAGAAAAGAGATTCTGTTGTGAATTTCCGGTGCTGCAAAGCTAGCCAAAGTCGACATGAAGTATTTTTGCGTTTTGCGCAAAGCTTTGCAAATGGCGTACGATATTTAGAAGCTCAAGCATCGTCACGAAAGGAAATACAAGAAAAGCTGTTGATTGTTTGAAGTTGATTGTCCTTGAATCGAATTGAATCGAATTGAATTGAATTGAACTGAATTGGAGTGCGAAGAGTTGTTGTCTGCGTTCAGTCACGATATCTTTTCATCTCATCAATCGATATCGAGGTTTCCATTCTGGTTTCTGTTTCTGTTTCTGTTTCTGAAAAACCACGTGGAAAAGAAGTGTCGATAAATAGAGCGTTTCTATTGGTTTTTCGTCGCGTAGTGTGAACTAATCGCATCGTTGATTGGTTCGTTCCAGTTTTCCGAGCGAATAAATGGATGCTGATACTGCAGGTTCGGAAGCCCGCGTGGTTCGATCGACGATGGTGGTGTGAAGACTTTGCGGTACAATTCGCTCTTCTAAGTAAGGTAAGTGGAATCTTTCCGCGTTGTGTATGGCCTTCCTTGTTTTTCTCCTACGCAATCGAAATGTTGCTCTGAAATCTCGGTAGTAGCATGAAAACTGGGATGGTTTATTTGACAGTATTATAATTTTCTAGCGCTAGACAGACTGAAGTGGATATCGAAGTAAGTTGATTCTCTATGACTGATAATGGTTCTTTATCCGAGGTTTGGCGTTTAACGGTTCATTATCTGCAAAACAAAGTAGATCTCGGACATCATTAAGTCTTCAATGCATATTGTTTTACTTTGCGGGTATAATTTTTGGTTTGATTTCGCTCTCATAGGCGGTGTAAATTTCATTGTTTACATCGGAAGTTGTGTTTGTTTCTTCTTTGTGCAAGTAGAACAAAACCAATTCATGTGGCTTCTAATTTTCTTGCTTTTAACTAAAACCTGCCTTACTTTGTAAATCTTTGGNGTTTAGTTCACACCAATGCCCCCCCTCACTATGAGCAATGATCATTGCACTTCAGAACTTTGAGACAACCTGGATTATTAAGGGACGTCTCTTTTTGCCTCTTGCTGCTGGTGTGTAAATATTAATTTGCTGTGCATGCAGCTGCTTCAGGCTGTAAATGATAGAAATATAATGAAGTCCTAAAAAAAACCTTGCTTTGTCTTTGAGAATTCTGCCAAAGATTTTCAAAGAGCTGCCATAGATACTATAATTCAGGGATCATTGAATGATAATTGAAGTCTGATCTCATTTAAATCTTTAAAGATCTATCAGTTGATGATGATGGTCTGTTGATTTCCCCCAAGAGTCTTATTTTATTGATATATAAACATGTACAAACCCTGTACTGTAACTGACCATCAGCGTTGTCAAAAAGGGGCTATCTCTCCCATTTGAGATTGCCTGTATGTCCCTTAAGTGAGCAAGCTTGTTCAGTTGAGATGGCAAAATATTGGCTTTTTTGCAATCACCTGTAAATGCATCTTGGTCCATAGGCTTCCAAAAACATATTCTTGAACTCATGCTTGGCTCATTGACCCAACTGCTATACAGGAGCCTTTGTATCATTTCAGGCTGTATGTAAGTTGAATGATTCTTGGTGTAGGAATTTCCTCCCCTACACACCAAACCACAAACTCAACATGTCTGGTAGCAAGGGCACTTGTCTGTGTGTATCTATCCTTTCAGACCCATTCATATCTCAATTGGGGGACTTTTTTTCATTTTCTTTCCCTCGTGAAAGCGAACCAGCCATTAAGTCAACTACCTTGTTTGAAAACAATGTATCATTTACTGACGTGTCACAGTCAACTCATTTACCTTTCCACTGTGTCTCTAGCATCATCTTCTTGTACAACACCAACTTCATCTATGGCAGGAAACCTGACAGCTCAGAAGAAGAACACAACATTCCTTACAGTATCTGATCTGCCCATGGAGCTGTCCAAACAACTGCAGGATGTTGTGCAAATGAACCAAGGCATACCTGATGTTCTTAGAAGATCATTGCCGAATATTGATCAATATCAGTATGACTTTTCTCTAGAGAGAGCTGTGTTGAGATCATTTGAAAGACACACATGACTGGCTGTAGATATTGAATTCATTGATGAGACTTCACAGTAATCAGTTGAGTAATTTTCATTGAAGAGAAGGGAAGAGATATCTACCACTATGCATATTTCTATGATAACTTCTTTGCATAACTAATAAGACTTGAAAAAATGTAAGCCAACAATCAAGTGACCTTTGCAGCCATTATTTGGGTCATTACAATGCCTATCCCCACTGGGGAAGAATGTTAAATGACAACTCAAATAATGTCTGCAGAGGAGAGTGTGTTTGATGGAACATACTTCACATAACCTCCTGCACATAGGGTCCTTCACTATTTTCTGTCAGGCTCACTTTCAACAATAAAGGTTAAGTGGGAGAAAACTAGTAAGAGTGAAACATAAAAATCAATTTATATCATCAATCAAAAATTTTCTCATGCGTGATTAGCCTGAACATGTCACTTGATACACCCAAAACTGGGATGTACCCAAGGTTCACCATAGTAATAGTCTCCAGTTTTCAAAACATTGAGCACATTCAGTTTTCGTCACAAAGAAATTGTCACTTCGGATAGAAATGATTGTTTAAACAAGCAATGGTCATAGCCACATGGAAATTAGCCTCTTCCAGGCATTCAGTTAATTGGGGCGCAACGCGAAAAACGGNGACCCCCAGCCACTGCACACTAATGGCTGATAGTGTATGATGGCTAAACCAATCAGATTGCAGCATTTGACAAACTAAACTAACTAAACTACTTTATCATTCACTTTCAATAACATCAACTTCATTTTATTATTAGCAATATTAATAATTTTATTACTTTGTCCCAAGAAAAGAATACATGATTATTAAATGTTTCATCTTGCTCACTTGATGAAAAATATTTGATTGTACACTTCAGAATATCATCCAATTATACAAACATGACCATATTCACATATCACGATACTGGCCAGTATATAATATCCCATGAATTCATAGTTACGCCACAAATAATACACTCAAGGGTAGCCTCTTCCAGGCATTCAGTTAGTTGGGAGGCAGTATGAAAAGTTGGGGTGCAGCGTGAAAAATGTCGCAGTTAAAAATGTGGGTGAAGTGCACCAGCTGAAGCCTCTCTAACTCCTTTATTTCGAACCTGTGTTTTTTTTTATACCCAGTGCCTCAACTAACTGAACACCTGGAAGAGGCAAACTTGAGTATTGCTGGTTTATTAAGCAAACCAGTACAAAGTTATGACTAACTAGAATTGATATGGAGCTTGGGAATCACAGGAACTATATTATTTCCAGCATTAATTTGTTAATTCAACCTTATTAAAACTTTGGACGACTGTAATGTTATTCTTCCCGATGGACTGTTATGCCTAAGATCTTTAATTTCATATTTGTCACATAATTTGATTGCACATGCCAGCACTGCATGATGCCTGACATTACTAAAATTATTATAAAGTTAACATTATTTGAACAGCACCATTTATTTATGAAGTCCCAAAATTCCACAGCATTGAGGTCTCCCCACTTTTGGAAAATTATGTGTGAAGTTCCTGTTATTTTTTTTCTAATATTTTCTTCAGCGTTTTGCACTTGAGTGTCAAGAGTAATTTGCATTTTTGCTTTGGTTTTGCATTGCTTTGCCACGCAAATTACTGGCCTTAAGAATTCACTTTACTTTGTGTTCATGATGGAATCACAAGTAAAACCAAAACCAATTTTTATTGGAGTTTTGATTGATTTAATGAATTGTCTGTGCACTTTGTAACAGACCAGAGTGATTACTTTGGTTTTGGTCTTATGAATACTCATTATTTTAAAATTTGCTCTATATTATCTTAAATTCACCGGTAAGTCTCCAAAGCTGATATTGTCAAAACCTCTGCAAATGTTCCTTCCTATAATGAATAGCAAACTCTCTTTTTTTAATATTATTATATAAATTATTATTTTCTTGTCTCAAAACCTCCTCACAAAGGCCATCTCCCTCCAACAGCAATTATTTTGAAATTCTAATGCCCCAAGGTTGGCCAGCCTTGACTAGAGGTTCAATTGAAGTCCAATAATATTAGAAATCATTCTTGAGCATGTAAAAAGAAATCAGAGCTCACTGGCACTGGCCGCTACCTTTTCGTAGCTTCGCTGTTTTACCATGGCTTTAATAGTAATCCTTAATTCATAACACAATCAATTGGAAACTTTGCTATTTCTGTCTGGTGGCTATTACTCTTTCACACTACTCAAATATGCATATACTATATCTATTGATTACAATATTTCAAGTTCACANTTGACCTTTTAAAGTTCCTTTAATAATAATTTGCATTCTTGTTTAAAAACTCTCCAAACTTTAAATGGCGCGTTCGGTGACGAAACATTTCCATCCATGGCTGATTATTTAGCCATCCCCTGCAGCCATCCCCAGTTGAAACTTCTGATCCAGCCAGAATGTTGTGTGATGAGAAATACTAACAAATGTTTGATTCTTTTAATTGGTTGATTCATCCACCATGATATCAGGTCAAGGAGTTTGATCATTTACGCTCAGATTGTGTCTTCATATATTGTGTCTTCATCTCCAATGAAGCGAAATACATGTACAAAATTAATATTACTAACCAACCCTATAGAACTTGTTACTTCTAAAAATCATGGAATTGTTTTTTTTTCTCCTGCTTCTAATGCAATCTGATGTGGTGTAACCCTAATGCAGTACATTAGGGGATTTTCATCATAACATTGTAGTGTTACCCCAGCGTTGCAAACATATTAACATAACAAACAAATCATGGGCAACCTGACAGTGTTGTTGTCGGCACCAAGAATAATGACCTCCATCGGGTTCTGTAGTTGTGAATTCATTTATCAGATTGTCAGCCAATCAGATTTGAACAGAAGTCCATGAACTGATGAGTTGCAACTTTGAATCAGTCATAGCTGTCGTTTTTGATGCTCACCAAAAAGATTATGGCTCCTGGGATTAAGAATAAACAATGACTCGGTGACTGGACATCTAGAAAAAGAGAACTCTGTTTCAGCATGTATTTTCTAATGCAATATTGCAATATTGCAAACCATTTTTCTTTATATAATTTGGCTTGCTGAAAATGTTGGGTGTTTGTTTCTTTCAGGTCGCAATGTCTCAACAATCCTCCCAGACGTCCAACTGCTCACTTGAGCCAATAATGTCCCAAGAGACGTTTGATCATGTCTTTTCCAATGTCATGGGTACTTTTGAAAATCAACAAGACTTACACAGGTACAAATTTTATTGGTCCAATTTAATTAATATACCTGGAAGCTGTTGGTTAGAGGTGAAAGAGATAAGACGATGACATGGAGAGGAGACTAGAAAGCGTCCTTTTTTCAAAGAAGTCCATAGACATTTTATTTTTTTGCCGGCTTCATGGTCGCCCTCACTCCCTTTCACTTCATTTCACTTTTAGCCAGAACCCCCTTGGGGTGTTGGGCCGGGCTCTTACTCCCCATGCTTACTTAAACACACGCTTGCTTTGCTCAAATTGACAAGACCCAATAAAACAGTAAGTCCACAATGATGGTCATGAGTAAAAGGTCCAGCAGATGTGAAAACTTTGGGATCATGCATGGTCCAAACATGGGGCTTAGTCTGTGTGTTTGACTTTCCTGTATGACAACAGGTCTTAGTGGGAGGGGGGCACTGTCGGTTTAGTATTTTTCCAAAGAACACAAAACGGTGATCCTCGTTGGTGTTCACACATAGCTTCCAATCTCAACCTTAATACGTACTGAACAACAAAGTACCTTCCATGGACATGTGAGGTTGTCCTTCGGTAGCATGTTGGGTAATTAATAAAAGAGACTGATAATGCCGTAGATCGGCAAAAAAGCTTAGAATAAAAAGAAAAACAGTAGCTCGAGGCCTCAATATAATCATCCCTTGTACCTACCACGAACTTAAAGTTAACAAAGTTAGAGTTAACTTTATCAGTGTAAAACTTGTTGTTAAATGTTACTGTGTCTTTTTAGGATTCAGACTGAATGTCAGATGGCACCAACGATTATACAACTAACAGATGAGAATATACATGGTATGTTTTTAGCTCACAGTATTAGTAATGGTTACAAATCCTTTTGGATATAAATGTATCAAGGCAAGAACATAAGTGGGTAGGAAACAGGGTTGGAAACTTGCTCTCTATATCATGTACTTATTTTCTGGTTGTACTACAGGACAACATTGGTATCAACTTACCTACATGTACATGTGGTATGTATGTATGAACTGTATGTGCATGCAGGTTAATTGAATCTAGGTTTTGTGATTTCAGAAAATGTGCAGATGACCCTGGACTGTGTTGGCCTCGTAAGACCTGAGGTATAACACTTTTGACTTTAAAGTTGTAATTCTGTCAAATCTGTTTAAACTGCAGCCCCTTCTCATATTATTATTTAAGGCTCAATTTTGTCTTTTCAGTCAACACTTTCCATAGTTACCACAGAATTCCGAAAGTAACAGTCCCGCCAAAAATAACGCCTTCCCGAAAGTAACGTTAATTTTTTACCTTCCTATTGAACCGTGATCAATTAGTCACAATGTGACCATTACTTTTGCCCTTCAGTTTCAACAATTGGAGCCTTTTTTGGTCATACAGCCTGCACTGTTTTTGTGGGTGTTACTTAACATTCATAAAAGGAACTGTTAACTTCATATTAGACATGTTACGCATCTGCCTTGTCTGAAACGACTATGAGTAACTGTACAAATGTTACGGCTACCCAAAAGTTGCAGCCATTATTGCCTGCTAAATGCAAAAGCAACAGGGCTGTTACTTTCAGAATTCTACGGTATTTAATTGCCCTTCATATTTTTATCACTCGCCAGTTTTCTTGAAAAATTGTAAAAAACAGTCTTTGAGAGTCAGATTAGTGTTGCTTTTAATTGGACAATCAGCTTGCAAGTTTTTTAGAATTTCAAATTATATTTGCTTGGCAGGGTAATGAATTCCCCCTGTTATTGCAAGACAACAGTTTTCGATCAGATCTCGTTGGACAAGAACTTACGCATTTCAAACGGGAACCAGAGGAAAACCCAATCATCCCATCGACAATGGCCACTCCACCTCCAGAACAGCCCATTCCGCAGCCATTAATAGTATGCAATACTGATTTTCCTGGGAGTTATGGTTTCGACCTTGGTTTCCAGGAAGAGAAAGGGCCTGTGACAAAGTCAGTGCAATGGACTTATTCGCCATCCCTAAAGAAATTATTTGTGAAAATGAGATGTATTGTACCTCTTAGATTTAAACTGCAAGGTTAGGACATTGCTGTCTGACTTACTGATTTTCTGTTGACCTTTTTGTTATTTTCGTGGCTCTAAAAATGTGCTCATGGCAACTTGGTCTTTGTTGCAGTTTTCCCACCTCCTGCATCCGGTTTGTATGTTCGAGTGGTGGTGATATACAGACAGCCAGACCATTATCGGGAAATTGTAGAAAGATGCCCCAATCACATCACCCAACACAAGGATGGTTAGTTTCCATTTTCTTTCCTTGCATTTCCAAATGCATTTGCTACTTCAGAAATGAGAAGAAATCCAGTCAGCTATTTGGGTGTTACACACTTGTTTTTATGGTAGATGTAATGTTATGTGTAGATGTGCTTACCGGTATGTACATGTACTGTAACAGAATGAAACTTAAATTTTACAGAATTAAATTTATGCTGTACATGTAAGATGGTAATTCATTTACATGTAGTTTCACTGTCACTATCAGGCCATCATGCTCCTAAGCATATTCTGAGATGTGAAAATCCAAGAACAAGTTATGTGACCTGCCCAGAGACTGGAAGACACAGTATAATAATTCCTTTGGACTCACCACAGGGTAAGTTGGAAGCTTGGCAATTTCTTGGGGCTATGATGACTGATGATATAAAAAGATTCCAGAGATATAGTACTACACTATGCCCTCACAAGTACATGTTAGTTTCTGCAACAACAAGAAATACCCTCAGCTGAATCTTTTAATCAACAGTCATCCCCAGTAGTAATTATGCTGCTTTAACAGACAAAAACATTCAGTTATATTTTGTAGATCAATGACGGATACAACACACCATTTCATAGTAAATTCAATGTTTCTTTTCATTTTTATTTTGTAGCTGGCAGTGACTTTGTGACCAATATGTTCCAATTCATGTGCTTCAGTTCATGTCCTGGTGGTTTGAATAGACGGCCCATCATTGTGGTTTTTACCCTGGAGTTAAAGTAAGTTTTGGATTAATATGGTACTTAGAAATCAATTTTTTTTGTTACTAAAGTGCATGCAATGCTAGCATCACTATTTTCTCAAGCATTGAGATTCATGTACAAGATACGATAACGATCAGAATTTACGTGTAAGCTTGGATTGACACACAAGCTAGTGAGAAATCAGCACTTTGCAAGCATAATAAGGGCTCCGAAAAAACGTGAATTCCAGCTTGCCCTCTGGACAAGCAGCTCTCAAATTTTGCTTGCCCTGGGCAAGTTTTTAATTTAGTTGGTGGACAACTTGCCCAAACCCTTCCCCTTCGGCCAGCAAGTAAGAATGGAAGTTACTTGCCTGCCAGGAAAAACTACTTGTCCTGGACTACTGTCCAACAGCACTGTTTTCAAGCCCTGAATTGTTGGTCCTAATATTGTGAAAAGTCGTAGGAATAACAATGATCTCAATTTGAAGTCCAGTGTACTCAACATACTGTAGGCGGCATCATGTAACAATACAAAGTACAAAGAAACACTCACAGGAAATGTACTTGAAAGAATCAACCGAAGGGAAAGTCAATTGAGCTAAACATTAACTTCTGTTTATGCACTAACAAAAACAGCTATATGTTATATATAGAAGCATTTTGTACCAAAAACATAACAGTCAAAATAGCAACATGTACATTGTATACAATGTACTTTCCTGTTTTATTTTTTCAGTAATATGGTATTGGGACGGAAAGCCCAAGATATACGCATATGTGCCTGTCCAGGAAGAGATAGGACTATTGAAGAGAACGCAGAATCTAAACGAAGGTCCAATCAACCGGCAGCCACTTCTGTAATTTCTCAAACTGCAAGTGTAACACCACCCCCAACCCCTCAGGTATTATCAGCCCCTCATACCCCTCCAGAGGAGCCAACAACATCCACTGGTGAAACAAGCCATGTTCAAATTCCAAAGTTAACCAAAAAGAGATGTAAGTGTGGAGTTCCATGTACAATTCCAAAAGGTAAAGGCTGTAGCGTAAAGTGACTAAGAGTATCTCTCCTCTCCCTGGATGGGATGCTAGTCCATCGCAATCCCACCCCCTCCTTATGGCACATTTTGTCTCTCAGGTTACTGTGCCCCTAGGATGTTAAAATTATTTTCTGTTCTCCAGTTTTCTTTGCCTTTGTGGAGAGACACTCTTATGTCAAATTGAGGACACTGATCAGACCAAAACAGTCCCAATAAACTCTTGAGATATATTCCTTTGTACTTCATATATGTCCCATTATGTTCTTGTACATGTAACAATAAATTTCAAGGTGTCTAAAACTTACGAAAACAGATTCATCATCAAGCTCAAGCATCCAAAACCTTTTTGCAGAAAGTTAATGCTAATTGCTGAATTGAGATTGTTATTATCACTATCACTATCGCTATCGCTATCATTATCATTTTTATTAGCAAATTTAAAAACCTTCTTAGTTACAAATTTGCACTCAAAACTCAAGTTTTTCCCACCCTTGGCCCACCAGAGACAATAAGGTTGCATATAGCATTGCTTGGAACCCCGCCTTATGGCCACCTTCTTATTATGGCTACTCTGTTCTGGTCCTTTCCATAGTTCAGTCAGTCATTTTCTTATTTTAATAACCCCTTTATTATGGCCAATCTACTACTACAGCCAGATTTTTGTGGCGTGCAAATGACCAAAAATGGGGTTCCACTGTGCTTGAAATGAATGTTCTGTTTTTTAATCTGATTTCAGGAAGTGTCATAAAAACTTGCTTCTTTTTATTCTTGTTTGAATCTTCAGCACATTCCATCATGTCATCTGGGTTTGAAGTCAGGGCATTGACTGTGGATAGAAATAGACTAAAGCGAATACGGACTAATGAAGATGAGGAGATTTTTACGATACAGGTTAGTAACACTATGTTATCAGTGTGAGACAAAATGAGGTAATGCTCAGACTAATGGCTTCCTGTAGAAAAGGAAAGGGGTGAGGAAATGTTGGGGTAGTGTGTCTCTAAGGACCATTTTCATGTAGGGAGTGGGGAGGTAGGAATCTCCAATGGGCAACAGAGTGTTGAGCCACTCCACTGTATAAGTTTCAAGTGTCTTGGAAACACCCCCCCCCCCCNCAGTTCACCAGTTAATTAATTAAGCAATGTGGAGTGTCTCGTTTAACCACAAGGTCACAATATGTATGCACCCATTTGTTTAGAAATACACAATGTAGTTGTAGCTAACCAAAGCTTAAAAAAAAAAAAAAAAAAAATTGCACATACGTTGCATGACATTGAAGTGAGGTCTGCAGATATTAGAAAATTAGTGGCATATGAAATAGAATGAGGGGTTAAATATTGTTAAGTGTGATTCTCTAAGTCATTCATTGTAGAACATTATGGAGCAATGTTGACAACTTTTCAAGCAATTTTTTCCTTCAGTTTAGACAATAAGAATATTGTGGCCTTCAATAGTAGCCCTCAGTCATTAAGGAGTTAATCATTTATAGCCTTTTTCCTTTATTGTAGGTTAAAGGCCGTGAAAAATATGAAATGTTACTGAAAATCAAGGAAAGTCTTGACATTATGGACATGGTTCCACAGGCTCAACTTGATAATTACAGGGCAAGGTACATTAAGTCTCTAGTAGACATACAAAGGAATTGGAACAAGTACTTATAATTACTTTGACCTGCAGTGGTACATGTACATGTTATTCAAGAATGCAATAGAGAATGTAGACTGAATACCATGCTGTAGAATTGTACTACTGTGTTAATTATACCAGCACTAGGCCTGATACTTCAACTACACGATGTACTATACTCTTGAAAGTGGGCCATCAAAGAACGTACTGTTTTTGGACTGAACAGTATTTAAAAGTACTCACCATTTTCAATTTCTAAATATGGTGTCTTGTTCATAGACTGACATGCAGACTCTTTGGTTGTTTAAGAGTGCCGCATGGGACCCCCAAAATTTATTGGTGCCCCAGACTACATGTATCAAGGGTTTGGGATACTATTATGGTATGACAAATGGTGCTTACCATTTGTCTTACCATTTGTCATCCTGGAATAAACCTGTTGGGGTGAATGTTTCATGTAAATAATGGTAAGGGTTTTTCAAAATCAGCAAACCAACCAAAGGAGATAGTGTTTTATACCATTTTACAATTTGATTTCCCATAATTGTTTTTGGCTGGCGAGAGACTGGAAACTGGAAAATGAAGTAAATGTCAAGGAAATTTCCCCTGTTCTGTTCCGAACGGAAAGAGGGGAAGGACTACTTCTGGAGGTAGTCTTCAAATGTTCGATTTCTGAATGGATTTTCCATAAAATTGCTGTTCCATTTGACTTTCAACTGAAATTGGCAAAAGGGAAAGCACCCCTCGAGACATGATGTCCTAGAACAGACAGGGCCCTCTGCCCTTCAATTCTTTTGTTTGTTATGAATTCAAATGACTGTGTCATTAACTAATGGTTTGTTTATTGGAATCTACAGCTGTCCACCTTGTGGGAGAATGAGGAGTTCACAGAATTCACAAAATTCAGATTCTCAAAACTCTTCAGATTCTCAGCCAGTAAGTTTTCTTTTGCCTTTTTATAATTACTCCCTGACTCTAGCTTAATGGTTCTGGCTTTATTCATTTGGTAAGTTAAATAGGGCGGTCGAACATGAAGTTTTGTAAGTCAAAAAGTGTTTTTGCTTGCAGTGTATTATTGGTTTGTTGACTCTATGGTATATTGACTGCTTTCTAAGCTATATGAAGCTAGCGGCTTAGTACACTTCAAGCCCTAATTTATGATGATCTTCCTTACATTTTTTTCTCAAAAAGTCGCTTGACTAGGACTAGCTCTCTCTCTTGGCATTTTATTGTTATACCATCATCAAAATCAGAAATGGAAAAATTGCAAAGTTTTCAGAACAAATTTGCGAAGAAAATTAAATCAGGGAAGATGTCTTCTTCAGAAGCTCTGAAGTGTCTGAATTGGCTCCCTCTGGCTGGAAGACGTTTTTCTCACCGATGTACCGCCGTACAAAATGCAATCAAAGGAGACATTCCGCAACATTTTGAAAGTTTTAAATCGACACTAAGAAGTTCACATGGCTACATCACTAGACATGGCTACTTACCTAGATTGCCTAAACCTAAAACGGAATGCGGAAAGAGAGTGTCCTACTTTCGTTTTACAAATGACTGGATGTCTCTCCCAGTATTTTTAAGAAAGCCAATGCCATGCACAATTTTTAAGAAAAACCTTATAAGGTTCTTAATGGATAAACATTTTTAGAAAAAATGACAGTAGGTAGTTTTGGTAGTTTTAGTAGTTTTAATTATTGTATATTTTATATTTTAGATCTGTGATACTTTTATTTCTTATTTAGATTTTAACACTTTTTATTTTATAGAGGACCTCCTTGAAAACCACGTATTTACGCGACGGGCGCTTCCTCTTTAAAGATTGTTTTTATTATTATTATTATTATTATTATTATTATTATTATTATTATTATTATTATTATTATTACAGTTATAAAAATCTACGTACTGTTATTGCAACAGTTTGACCGTAATGAGACAGAATTATTGTGGATTAATACTATTAATATAAATCTAGGCAGGGGAGATGGACCAGGGGTCTTGGGATCAGGCTGGTAATAGCATGAGATTCATAAGACACAGGATAACCAATAGTATTTATACCTATTAGCGTGATTACACAACTCATTGTAATTCGAAGTAAAATTTTACGGAAAGCTGGATAGATTTTGGGCACTTTTGCGTATCTGTTGATCATAGCAGTTAGTTACTTTACAGCAATTGACTAGCAGTTTTTATATTTGCAACTTTGCGTGGGGGTCTGTCTCCGGGTCTACTTACTCAGTATCCAAGATATTGAGGTAAATTTGCTAATCATGCGTTATTACAGGATGAACTGGAAGGTACTCCACCGGCTACACAACTGTCACGTTCGGACTCTGGCTCCTCATACCAGTCTCCTACATCCTCTCAGCACAGTTCTGGAGGAGGGACTGGGATCAATGCTGTGAGGTTTACTCTGAGAAGAACTGTCTCGTTAGACAAGAAGGGCTTCCAATCATAACTTGGTTGTTATTTAGGAATATTCACATCATCAGAGCGGGTTTTTTTATACTTAAAGTTGTTAGGTTCCAGTTTTTAATAGACCTTGATATTTTGTGCTTACAGCGAGGACAAGGACCATAACACTTGACAGTTTTTGGGCATGTTTGCATTGACTTACTTTTTTGTAAGAATTATGGCTCTTCATTCAGCATTTTTCACTGTTTGTGACGTGCTGGTCTTGTACAATACATAATAGCCTCTTCCAGGTGTTCAGTTAGTTGGGCACAGTGAGAAAAACGGTGAGCAAAACCGGGAGAAGTGAGAGAAAGCAAAGGAACGTTTTCGCTTTTTCTCGCCATGCTTCTCCCCCATTTTTTTGCTCGCCATTTTTTGCTGCACCCCAACTACTGTAACTGAACACCTGGAAGAGGCTAAATAGTGTAACAAGCCTTGAGTTTATTCCATAGTGCCAAAAAAACAAGTAAAATGTCAAGTGTTCATAGTTCAAGTGTCATTACTGGTAGTAATAGTCACCATCACTGATGTCTCTATAGCAACTGTTACTCGTGTCACCCAACAATGTTTCTCTCGTTGTTTGACAACCTAAACAATGACTGTGAAGAAGACACACGTTAAGGTATTCCGTGGTGATATTTTAGAATGTAACAAATCAGAGACAGCTCTGTGAGATGTTTATTTTTCCAAGAGCTGTAAAGAAGATTAGATTATTTTTATATTGTAAGTTTTTGCTACCGAGAAGCATACTTCTATAATTTATGTAATAATAATTTGCTTATAATAGGTGCAGTTGATAATTAGATTGTCTTGAGGTTAATGCTGCAATACATTACTGAAGTGGTTCAGTTAAAAATTATTTCAGTGGGAGCTAATTATTTTTTTTTTTGACTCATGGTATGATTTAAAATTTTAAACTTGTAGAGGTACAGTCTGCCTTTCATGAAACATTGGTTTAACTTGGAGCAACTACGATTTGTAGAAGACTAGTTGTCAAGACAAAGATGTAGTTTTATATAGATAACACACTTTCTGCAAATGCCTGACAACTTTGGAAAGTTTAAAACTTCCCCCTCTCTCCCTGTGCTGTTATTTTAGAGGGTTACCAATGATATTCATGCTGTGGTTTTTTAAACCTTAAAATTGAGGAGGGTTTAAGGAGAAGTAGTTTACCTATTTCATCCTCCAATTTGCTGGAAAAACCAAACTGGTAGAACTAGATATCTCAACAGTCTTTTTTTAACTAGCTCACTTGGAGTAGAAAATGTTCTAAGAATATTAAAACACTGAGATCGAGGGGAAAAAAATGAATGACACTCTTTCAAAGTTGATTTTAGTTTCCTTCTGCAGTGCAGAAAATCATTCTAAATTGCATGTAGATAAGAGAATGTACCATTTATTTGGTTTGTTGTGTTTGCCAAGACCAGTTGTAGGTCAGACATATCATATGTATATATAATTGTATAATACAATGGGTTGGTTTATGTTGTTGTTAACAGTTAACATAAAGTACAGTGCAAGGTGCTGCTGTTCATGAAATAAATGCTAAGATATAAGACTTGTACCTCAGTCCTGCTTGTGTCATATCCCCCTGAACCTCCTATCTGAGAGACCCGAGATCAGTATGGAAACTCTCATAACTGTTTTCTTATGTTTTCCATATCTCTCCTTGGGAGAATTTGATTTATCATTTGTCATTGTCTGTTTGTTTTTCTGTTATATGTCTTGATCTTTCTCAGTCATAACCATTTTCGATTCAGGAAGGGACGTTTGAAGTTTATTCCACTGGGACATTTGAGGATTAACAGGCAAATGCTTCTGGGAAACGTGTGTTTCTCAGAAGCATTTGCCTGTCAAAAATAAGTTGATTGCTTTTAGTAACTTGTGTTTCATTGTTGGTGATAGCAAATATTCTAGGGTATAGCGAGCTCGAATACGAATTGCAGAGTGAACTTATAACTTCATCCTAAGAAAGGTCGATCTATTTTTACATCCATGTATTACTGAAAAGAAAAGAATGAAAAATGTCAAAACTAAGAGGGTTTGAAAAAATACAACAGTAATTTAAGATATAATGTAAGTTTTAAGCTTTGATTTTGTTGAGGCAGGGGATGACAAATTGAACGTGGTTTTTAGGGTACATTTTTGATGATCTTGTACTCTGAATGTTTCGCAAAGTAAATTTTTGAAAAATTGAACGTATGAGACATTCATTGCCCACTGCCGCTTAATATGCAATCAACTCTGATGCGAGTTTTTGTTTAGCTGTTTTCACTCGCTCAAAATTAAAGTCAACTCCATGGCCAAACATCATGCGCACGGCTGCCCTAAAGCTTGCTGAACCTTTTGACTAGCTCGTAAATGCTAGCAACGTGTAGCGTTATGGACTAGAGTAAGCGAACCATTTGGAAAAAGGACAGAGGTACACATTGCCAGAAAACGTTCTTAGGATTTAGTTGTCGCGCTTACCGCTAAACATTTATTTACAGAGCTTGCTTGGCAGTAACATACGCTTTTACACGTTTGGGTTGTCAGTGACAGAAATAAACTTCGCTAAAGTAGGCTTTAGCACAAACACTATTATTGGACTAATGCAAAAATGTTTTGAGGATTTGCAAAAAAAAATTCAGCCGGTAGTTTCCACATTTGTCAAGTGGGACAGTCCAATATAAATGTCATAAATTGCACATCACGCCATAAATGTGCAACATACTTTGATGGCAAGAGATCGTAAAACAGGGAACTTATGAACAAAACTGAAATATTGCAACAGATTTGAAAGAACAGTTGTGTCGCTTCTTTCACGATCCCGGCAGCCCTTTTACATATGGAAAATGCTACTGTGCTTAGTTACACAAACCTTCCGCAGTAGCCCAGCAGCGAAACAAATACTTCCCATACATCGCAAAACAATGGCTCTATCGACCAATGAACAGGACATTTGTAAACTTCTTATTGCGAACAAAGCCGCAAAGTACTTATTTATTTACCATGTTGCTAGGTAACCAGACGTCACAAAGGCAGTGTAGCGCCACTTATTACGACAAAGGCTCTCCCTCGACCTTTGTGATCGATGAGTATTTTGGGTTCTGTGAGTGACTTTTAGCAAAATTTGGCCTCGTTCATCGCTTCGATAAGATCATTTCTGGCCGCTGAGACCTAAGCATAACCCTTACACTAAACAAGCTCTTCGTATATCGCGACGAAATGACGAGAACGCTTTGCATATAGAATTCCGAGCTGAGACGTAGCAAACATGACGGTGCCAATAATGTCTGATCGGGAAGAGTAAGTAATCGTGCTTTTATTATCTTCGCTTTTTGGTTTACTGCATGATTAAAAGCATGAAAATAACGAGATTCTTTTCACGTTATATTATAGGTCGTCTCGCGAGGAGAGAGAAAATTACACGTCCGTACCTATTGTAGTTTTGACGGTGCATCGCGCTCAAGAAGAAGCTAAAGAACAGCGCTCATATGCCAGTTACGAGGCCGAAGATGTCCTGCCGGTAAGTTAGTTTTATCAGAGGAAAGCTCAGCTGTTCTGTTGTTCATCGTAGTTTGATGCCCTAAGCCATTAATATTTCATTCTCAAAGCTTGACTGAGCGGTTTCAGTCGTAGCCCTATGTAAGGAGAAATGAGTTGCTTGTTTGCATACCAACTCGCGGCAAATGAAGCGTGCACTTGGAATCTGCCGCGTAATCCAGAGATCAAATTGCTGTAGAGTCTTTCGATCTTCTCATCGTTTTCTTCTGTAGTCAAAGTTTGTGTGATGTGTAGCTGATTTTTCAGCTGGCGTAAGCTTGATGCCGGTTCTTTCATGAAAGCACTGGTGACATTTTTTTGCGTGATTTAAATTTGTTATATAGTTAAAAATATTAAGACCATGTGGTTTTTTTTTCTCTACTATCGTCAGCTACCTGCATCTAAGTACAGGTACAGCAAATGGCATGAACTAGAGGACATGGATATCAAGGGAAACATGTTAAGATCTCCCAGGGTTAGAAGAAGTAGGTGATTAAAACTTATAAAAGCTTGTCTTCATTGATTTCCTAATTTTCCAGGGGAGACAAAGTTTGTAGACAATGCACATTCAGTTTATATGCTTAGGATTCATGAGTTTTTGCTGTGAATCCCGGACAATTTAAGAATAATTGAATGTCATGGAGTCCCCCCCCCTCCCACCTCTCATTTCTTCCATGAGTCAACTCTTACAGGAACTTGGAAAATTCTCAGGATATGGTGTTACTAATAAATCCCATCCTCCTTGATGTCTCCACATTGTATCCAACAAACAGATCTTTAAAAGTGGAGTATACAAACAAAGTTTTGTCTAATGTGTTATATGGTCTCATTTTTCTCTAGATCCTAGGGGATTTAAACTGGAAAATATGCGAAAGCTGGATGAGGAAGAAAAATTAGAATATGGTGACTCAGATGATGAAGAATTTCGAGTAAGTCTGCCATTGAAAAAGAACAAACCCAAAAGAGTGCGTAACTACAAGAACAAGGTGGAAAACTGGGAAAATGCAGAGGTATGTAATGCAGGCTTGTCAGGAGTACCTTGCACTGCCAGTGACAAACTGCCATCTGCATCATGATCTCAACTAGTTACTCTGTTGAACTATTTCTCCGATTCTTTAGAAAAAAGATGGTAAAACTAGGCACTGCTGCAACAATAAAGCCACTTACTTTAAAATTTTGTGAGACCCTGAAATGAAGTGAGACTAAAAAGCTAGTGGCTATTAAATGACGTAAATCTAAGTATGATAAAAGAATTTTAAAATTTTCTGTTACAATTCAATTCAATTCGATTTTAATTTAAATTCTCACAAACATTAATTTTACAGAGATGTCAGAATGCAAAGTTATCCATATGTTAGGACTTTGTGCACCACCGTCAGGCCTTGCAGTGAAAAATTTAATATTTATTGTTACATGTATTACTATTATTGGCATGAGAGGCCAGCTGTTTGGAAATGAGCAATTTTTCGTATTAAGCAACTTTAACTGGGAACAACCAAAAGCAATCTAGCTAATGTAACAAAATTCTGTCACTGTGAAAATATACTGGATATTGATAAAGCCCTTTGTATTTAACCTCACAGTCCGTAAATCTGTCATATCAAGACCTTGGTCATCCTTATCAGAAGAAGGAATTCCAGCGAGTGCTCAGAAGACTCCTCAGATGTGAAAACCTACAACTAATAGAAAACTCGATACAAGATTTGAGCACTGTGTTGCTTCCAAGGTGAGTTTATGTCTCAATGTTATTATGAATCAACATTTAGAACTGTAGTTTTACTCCTCAAAGTTGAAACTAACAAAATGTACTCCAGACCATGGCTCCGAATTAGCTTCATGTAATGTCTATGACGCTGTTTTAGTTCCCTCAAGACCCTAATGAACATGATATAGAGTGTAACCCTTTTCAACATCCACATTTTCATTGTGCTGATGAAGTTTGGTTGAGCCAAACAAATCATTTCACTGTTTTTTTAAAAAAAATATTTATTGCATTCTGATTACAGGAACTTATTTTATATTTTGACGTGTTCTAGTTTGTGTTTAGAGTCTAAAATTATTCGTCTCATTATTTCAGATGTACACATCTTTACCTCCAGAGAAATTTTATCACTGACCTAAGGGTAAGAAAGTAATATATTTTTGCTGCCTTAAGTTTGTTTAATGTAGTCTTCTGTATATTTTGAAGCTGTTATTTTTTTCAGAATTAAGATTCAATATATTAGAAAAGGTAAATTGCCCTCGGTCAGTTGGGCAGAAGGGCAGATGGGCAGGTACCATTGCCACCTATTACGTACTTATGTGGATCACTTTCCATACCATGAAAAGAAACAACATTGATTTGCACATAACGGCAAAAGATGTCATGAAATCAATGTTATTGTCATTCATGGAATGAAATCAAAATTACAATGATATTAATCTTTCTATATTTTCCTATTTCCAGAAACTTCCCAGGGCCCCTATGTTGGAGCACTTGTCACTGCAACAAAACAATGTAGAAAGTCTAAAAGGACTAGAGGTGCTGAGAAAAACAGGAATACAATCCCTGGTGCTCAAAGGAAATCCAGTAGAATTAGATCCAAACTACCGGCAACAGTAAGTCTATTCTGTTGATCAGCTTCTAAGCAAGAATGTCTTTTTATTGTGTTGTGATAAATTGATGCAGTTGGACCAGGAGTATAATTAACCTAAGTGACCAGTTATGAACATTAAGGAAAAAACGAAGATATCAAATACTATGACATGTAGCTTTATCAGTCATATTTACCATAGAAGGGCATTGTTTTAACCTGTACGAAATATAGACCACAATTGGTTTGTCTCTACTCCTTAATTTTTTGCGTGCCTGCTATGCTAACATAGCTTTTTTAAAGTAAAAAAATGAATTAACCAAATCTTTTTTTTTCTCTTGCTGTAGTGTTTTCAGAATTTTGCCAAATCTTCAGCTCTTAGATGGAATCCCAAGATTAGACAGTGATTCAGCTAATGTAGTACTGGATGCAAAGACATGCATTGTGTCATAACAACAGGGACCTTGGATATGTTGTGACCATGATGCAGACAGAACTTCTGTGGTCCAGGAAATCAGTGGGTGTCCTGTGATTGAAACTGCGGACAAGATTTCTGTGATCTGAAAAGCTGTCATACGGAGAAATGTGAGGAACATTTGTACCTCCTTTTGAAGCTTCAGTACACCGATGAGATTCCTGCGATCTGAAAAGCTTTTATAAGGAGAATGGGAGGGATGTTTTCCCCTCCTGATTAAAGCATCACGTTCACACTCTCCTATTCAGTGGACGAAGAGAACATTCAAGTAGGCTCAATTACCAGTGTAGACCGGACTTGAGAGGGTGGCCGAAATCAAGCCTAGCAATGATGAAGCAGCACATCAAGACCAGAAAGAGCATTGTCTAAATAATTGGTCCTGTACAAAAACACTGACCAATCTAAAATTATCTTGAAAGGATATATATTTCTTTTACTTCCTTTCTAGATTCTAGTCATTTCTCACATGAATAGAGTATTCAAGAGAGAAAAATTGGTCAAAAAAGCAAATGTTTTTGAGAGGTTTTTATTAGGTGAATTAATTGTGTAAAACTGTTGTTAGTAACGTAGCAAGGTAATTTGAAATTGATTTTATACAAATATCTTTTGCAAGCTGGGACTTCTGAGATTATTTTATAAATATGCAAGACATTTGTGAATAGATGTAAATATATATTTTCATCAATAATATTCGTTCATATGAAGGTGTACAAAAGTTGTACAGAGTATTTATTATGTTGAAGTAATTTTTTCTTCTAGAATGAGAGAATAAAATCAACACTGCTTATTAGGAGTCTCAAATTTTTTGAGTCAAAGTCAATTTTTCAGTTGTGTATGGTATTTAAAATTTTTGGATATGTTGGACAATTCATGGTGTATCATGTCATTTACATGTAGAATGCTAAAATCTGGTTACAAGTATTTTTTTACAAAAAAAAGGGCAAAAACTTGAAGATAAACTAGCACGCAAACCGGAAGTTGGAGACGAACAAAATCGAGGAACTCTTTGAAGCAAACAACCTCGACCCAGGCTCTCTCTCTTACCTCCCTTGTCGTTGGCAAAGGAGAGAGCCTGGGATCGAGGTTGGCATTCGAATTGATCGTAGCGAGTATTGCTCATTTTCAAATCGTCATTTTTACTTGGGTGCGAAGAAAAAGCGATGAACTGTATTAACGCGGGGAAGAAGCCACACCAAATTGGTGCAGGTTTCCCATTTTACATTATGGTTTTCTGTACTATGTACATCAGCAGGGTGTCAGAGGGGAGTTCCCGGTGGGTGTTGTGGCCACCAGGTCCGAGAGGGCTAACTCACGTGGAATCATTTCCTCTCTCTCATCACGTTCCTCACTGTGCCCCGAGGGGCTACAGGTAAGGATCACCCTAACTGATGATATCATACAACTAGTCCCACTAATCATATTATTCCCCAACCGCTGGTTGGCCCTTGTGGGATGCGTTCAGTGGAAATTCATGTTATTCTTGCAATTTCTAACAAGATGTCGGTAATGATGAGCTATATCATGGCTATATTCGTAAAGTTTGTATAGGGTTATTGAAACGGTTGAAATAACTAACATAACGGTCATCTTTCTTCAATTGCGGCAGTACGCATGCGCAGTTGCGTCCCTTTCTATGCAATTGATTTTTTTCAAAATTCCTGCTATGTGAAGTGCGGAAATGACTTCCAGAGTAAGATTACTCGTTGCGACGAATTGCGAAATAAAAAGAACAAAATATATTTGAAATTAAGTGCTTCTCGCTTTTTCTAAAACAGTTCTGCCAAAATGCACATGCCCGAAAACTTAGGTTGGGTCTAAGTAAGTCAAGCATGTCAAGTAAGACAAGAATCTCAAGTACGTCAAGAAACTCAAGTACGACATGCGTCTCAAGTAAGGCAAGAATCTCAAGTAAGTCAAGCACCTCAAGTAAGTCAAGCATGTCAAGTAAGACAAGCATCTCAAGCATATCAAGCATATGGTTATAATTAGCAATCAGCATATCTACTTTCGGAGATCGTTTATAAAAAAAAAACCCTGAAAAAACCGCGAGTACCAAAAAGACTACGAGATTAAAAGAAGAGGACCAAAGATTTCAAAATATTCATTTTTTTAAAATTGGTTTTACTCCACGATTTGTATCCTAACCAGTATTCTTACTATATGTTTCCGCGCGCTTACTTTACGTTACGCGCTCACACAATTTTTTTTTTTTGCGTGATTTACGTATAGAGCACACGTGAATGCGAGAAAATATTTTAAAGACCTATTACATCATGCAAATGGCAATAAAAATCTCGATCTTTCGCTTTGGAATTTTCTCGAAGCATCCGTCATGCGTTTGAAAAAGTAATGAAATATCGATTTGTTTGTTTTAGAAAGAGTGTGTTAAATTAATTGTAAAGTATCATATAATTGATTTTAACTTTATATTGCTGGTAAATCCTTGTTCAATAAATGTCACATCATTTTTTCAGTAGCCTTTGGTCTGCTGATCGTCATGCACAGCAAATAAAAAATCCATGGTAGTATACTGCGGTCGATCGGCAGAAAGATTTCGAACAAGAAAGAAGCTATACTGAAGTCAAACGTTTTCCCAAAACAGTTCAATTTATATAAAAAGTTTACAATAAATATTCAGTTCAATTACTGGTGCATCATGAACTGTTTCGACGCCTAAATGTTTTATGTTTTGTTCAAGTCTCCCGTTCGTAATACTTTCCAGTCCTCTTCGGTCTCAACCACGTTAATTGCCTCGGTGATCTCCTTCGAATTAAATGTAATTTTGTAGACCCGTTTTCACAAGGAAGAAAATCGCATCACATTGAGACAGTATGTATCCTCGTTCTTGTTTATATCTTTCATTTTCATTCTCAGAACTGACATTTTACTCGAGACCGGCCTCTCTTGTGATGCCTTTATTTTTTCGTAGATCTTTTACTCGGTCTTATTTTTTATACAAAATTGTCAGGTATCATTCAGGACGGGAGAAAAATAACCATCTTTGACTCCGCAATTTCATTTCTGGGATTGGGAGCTGCTGCGGTCCTGGGTCTTCTTTCTTTTGACAGGACCCGTTCTCATGACGAGACTCGTCATAGTTTCGTCTCCTCGTCTCCGTCTGAACGAACCATCACACCGCCTTCTAACAGCACGTACATGCCTATCAACATACGAGATTAGAAAAAAGCAAAGCTTCCAGACACAACTGCAATGGCTTCTTTGTATCTTTTCTGCCATAATATCGCCTCTGTTTCTTCTTTGGCCAGGATTTCCGCCATATTTGCGCACCGTCTCCATAGTTTGGCTCTCCTGTCCTTCAGGAATGTTCCGTCCTTCTCTAAGTGGTCCGCCATTTGAAGCTGTTTCATTTTACTTTTGACTGCCTCCTCTATGTTGCGCTAAAATATCGGAAAAAAAGTTTCTGATTAAAACAAATCACCCAGGAAACTCAGAAAACATGGCTTGTTCTGACTACAATGACTTAATATGCAAAACCTGTGCCAATTATACCAACTCGAGAATTAACTTAAAATGTTCCCAATTACGTACAAAAAATTCTTACCTCAATTATTTCATTTTCTTCCTGAAGTTGATTCATCCTCCTCTTAGCGTATTCAGCTCTTCTCTCGGCGAGTTTGGAAGCCACTTCGCGTCCGAATTGCTTGATGTCATTTCTTTGTCTTTCGGCTTCGTATCCTGAGACGAAGATTGGCGAAGATCTTCCGGAATCGCATGGCGGGGGAAGCTTTTCTTTAATCTGCCAAAAAGAAGAAAGATAAAAGCTGTGTTTTAGGTTAAATTGCTGCAATAAATCTTTCGCAATTTCATTTTATACAGACACAAGTGTTTTACTGGAAAATTCACCACTCGCCAAATTCTTAGGAAACTATATTTGGTCATATTTAGGATCACGAGTGACGTCTTTTCCATTTCCTCATTGGTGAGGAAATTGATGAGGTCATTTCCCGCTTTTTTACGGTTGTTTATGCAAACAGTCAGCGAAAATGACGAGCGATAGTTTCGTGTCCATGAAATAAAAAGAAGATTACACGGCCCTGTAAAAATTTATTTTCTCGTGTTAAAACAATATTTTACTCACTCGCAGCGCTCTTTAGCAAGATATTGTTTTTATACCATTCGAAATAAAATTCATATTTAGCCTCTATATAAATTATCGACGTTGCTATAAAAAGTTGACTGAAAGCTGTTCAATTTGTAGTCACGAGAAGACCATGTACGTTATGAATAAATTTAATTTTTTGAGAGATGGTAGTGGTGTTCGAGAAATGTCGCCTCAGATCACATTCATTAAATATTAAAAGATTATTGTCACGTTGAAGTGCATGTGTGAAGTGATCATGAATTATTTTATGGTGAATACTGAGTTATAAAGCAATGACAGGGAACGTGGTGTTATAATCTTTAAGATGATAAGCAGAAGGAGATAAGTCCTGGCTTTTCTTTATCGTGGGACTTTTGCTCGTTTAATTCAGAACTGATGGAAATCTGAGAAAGTTCGAAATGGGTCCATGGCAACTCAAAACGAAGAAACACTTCGCAAATAAACTGTGACTGAACAGCAGAAATCTTCCTGTTACGTAAATATATAGAGACTGCAAGGAAACTGCGCGGGCGCAAAAATGTTTCCTTCACGAGCAGTCCTCTCAAGCGCGGTCGCAAATGTCGTGCAATTAAGAATTCCTTCAAACGTGCATAAACATGTGCCTCTGTCGTCTCTATATGTATTATTGGATCCCTTCTGTGCTGTATAGAAACAAAGTTGTAAAAGGTGATTTGCTCCTTAAAAGCCTTAATGTTCATTACCTCGGCTATGTTAGCAATAGGCGGGTACAGCAGTTCCGGTGACCGAGGTCTCTCACGGTCATCGCCAATCGGGAGGAAAAAGCTGTTTCGCGAGGATGTGGGGCTGTCGGCTCGCTGTATCTTCACCTCAATGCTGGACAAATCCTGCAGGAAAGAAACAAATTGTATCAGCCATCAGCACAAAAACAAGATGCTCTTTACAGTAAATTTCCTTTTATATACTCTCAGACCATATAAAATTGCCCTACCGTGACTTCCGATAACATCTTTCCAATAAACAAGTTCCCTTCCTCTGGGCGCATTTATAAATGTGATTTGTATGTTAAAAGAAAAAGCAAAACTATATATTTTCCACTGTAGACTGTTCCTTAGTAAGCAAGTGCACGCACAATGGCCGCAGACAGTTGACTCTTAAAATCGTAAACTGCTACAACATAAAAGGCTGAGTTAACTTTCTTCGCCCACGTTGCGGGAAACGTGACGTACTTCTAATTCATTGCTGGTGCATGTTTACATGCTATTGGTGTGACGTTTTTGGAAAATTCACGAAGGAGCACTAGTAAAGTTTACGATTTGATAATAGTATCATTAGAGCTCTTCACTCAAGTGTTAGAAGGAGATACGATTTTCTAGAACTATGAAAACCAGAAATTAAACCACATTGTCTATATGTTTCTTCCACTGTAAACCCGTGGTAACCATAGTTCCTCGTTACGTTGGGAATTCGATTCAGTCTCAAAGGTATTTATTGTGTTCATACGCACCTTAAGAGTGTAATGACGGTCCCAAATGACATGATCATCTTCGAGATTTGAGATGGACTTGTCTTCATATGACGCTGAGCAGATAAAAAAAATTGATATTTATGCTTAAAAACTCTCTTTAAACCAAGCCAGTTTATTCAAAACACACGCAAATATGATCAGAGAGTGTAGAGATAATTTGCAATTTAAATTACGCATCATAAGTAGCAATTATTACAATAATTAAAGAACGTTAACACAGTAATACCAGCAGAGAACGGGTGACTTCATATACACCATAGGGCCGAGCTGTTCAGATCCGCTTAAGCTAACCCAGGATTAGCGAGAATTGATTTTAGTCTTGTATTTTTTCGGTGAGGTTTTTACTTTATATTGTTTATACTTCAGTATTGAACTTGTATAATCTCAAACTACACAAAACATAAAAAGTGAAAACATTTTTATAGAAGAAAAATCGATACTTCCGTCAATGTTTAATACTGGGTTAGCGTTACCGAATCGAATCGAACAACCTGGCCGACCCCTGGTTGATAGTTTTTAGTTGCAAAGAAAAGATAAGAACACTCTGCATTTTACTAAACAATCTATAGTTTATTTTTTTGGAACAGCACGGAAGGTTTGAATGCATCTTACAAATTGCATGCCTTGTTCTCTAAAAGTCTCGAATTCACTGAGCAAACGTAATCAAAGCGCCAACCCAGTGTACTGAGAGAGAATGGAGCTTAGTATCCCCAATCCCATTTTCAAACGTTTTAGTGCTTACCGTAAACGGCGCAGAGAGCTGGGGCGAGAATTGAGGACAGAGCAGGTTTAAGGGCTCTCTCCTGCCAGTCTGATCTCTTGAAAATATCTTCCAAAGTGTCCAGTTCAAACTGGGCCCAGTCGGCAAATGACCAGCTAGGGAACCTGTGATTAAAGAAAATTGAAAATATATTTATTAGCTCAGGAAGGTAATATTTGAAAAAGCGTGTCTGACATTTAAGAGGCAAGAAAATCAGCTGAGAAGATAGAACGATCCCCCGTTCACCTCAGTTGAACAGATGTAACTATTTTAAGAAAGTTTGACCAATGCAAGCGTAAATTAAGGCTATTGCGAAACAGTCGAAAGATATTCTTGGAAAAAGGGTTAGTTAACAGCTGTTTGATCGAAATGTGCAGTGCAGTGTTTCAGCGTGGGGGAAGAGTGGATTAAGCCTGAATGTGTATTCATAGTCTTCTTTTTCCTCTTTCACGCTGGAAAAAAAAGCTGTATGTCAAAATTGTTTGGCGGCGTCGCCGTTATTTACGTCTTGTTTGCTAAAATCGTCTTCGATGCCATTGACGACTGCAGCTGCAAACCTTTATAGCATTTTATATGGCATTTTATTCAATGCACAGTGCATTTATTTTGATCAATGCAGTAAAGAAAGGGAAAAACTCAGTGAAACTCGAGTCAGTTCTTTTAAGCAGTGAAATCATAAAACCATGATGGGTTCGCCAGAGATAAACTAAAACAAGGTGGAATTGAGAAAACGATAAAGTGCTTTTTTTACACACGTTGTTATCAAAAAGGAAGCAGCACTTAAAAGTATACTTAGTCCCCGATAGATTTAAGCAATAATTTAGCAAGAAAACGGCGAGTAAACAGAATGAACAGCATGCTAGCGTTTTTCATTTATGTTATAACGCGATGCTGATCGCTAATTACATTTCCCGCGATAATTGCTAATTCCTAGTGCTGCTGTCTTTTCTGCAAAGGAAACAAAGTGAAAATCCAGTGAATCGTGATAGTTCTATTACGCTGTTAAATTGAGCTGGCGTCATCGTGGCAGATGCGTATTATAATAAGAAGGCTAAGGAAACCATTACAGAATGGAACGGAAAAAGACTCAAATTTATAATTCGATTCAGATCGCTATTGCTTCATGACACAAAAGAGCTTTGTGTCTTTTGTCACGATACCGGCAGAATCAAACGCGCTGAGAGCAGCTAATAGTTGGTAAACATTGTGACGTCAGGCGCAATGAATAACGAGAGAAAAAACGTATTGAACAACAAACGAATTCAAATTATGGAGCTTAGCACCTATACAAACAGTATTGCGCGAAAATATGATCGAACTCGTAACTGCTCATTTCATCATCGTCAAGTGGGGTCAGTTTTTCTCGATGACAAAGTATTACACGAGTAACTCAAATCAGCTTTACATCGTCGAATTATGTTAGTTCTAGCAACAAAAAGGAGACGGTTAATACGATCTCTTGTTGCACGTAGGCACATGAAAATCAACAATATCTACGATTGACGTCACAACGTGCGTCACGTCGTCAAATGAAACAACACCGAGTTTTAATCGATGACTTTTCGTTCAATCGTGTTTAAGGGTCAGTTTGATTAATAATTCGAAATGTCAAATACAATTTAACGCTGAATTATTGATGTTTTCCTGTAAGAGAACACGTATTTTACCCTGACTAGTGAGGTTTTTCTTTAATATTTGATTCCAGTTACTGTTTGATGCGTGGGTTATTCTCTACAAAAGACTCTTGAAAATGTATTCTATTTTTAAACGGTCTAGGAATTCATCCACAGGTCAAATTGTCGTGTCTGTTTTTTTCATTAAAAACTGAAACGGCATCGTCATTTTCGATGCAAATTTTTTTTAATAATGATATTAAATATTTGCGTACGAAAACCGGCCGGCAACTGAGTGAGAAACATTTTTAAGGGAACGAAATGTGGCAACATTTCTCATGGAATAAAACTAGTTGAACTAAAAACATCGCTGAATTTTAATTGAAGAAGACTACAAACACGCGGTTTCCAGAATGCAGACAGAGGACGGAAGCATATTCTCTCCGAGATAAAATGAAATATCATTATGAATAGGACCTCCGGTTTTCTGCCTTGTGAACTTTTGTGGTAATCAAGGCCGGCCTTTTTAAAACATGGCAATATATTCACAACAAATTATATTTTTATAAACTCTTTGCACCGCGAGTGCTGTCGCAGCTCGATGGATCTCTTTGTGTTGAATTATCTGGGAAAACAATTTTTACGAAATATTTTGTTTCCGGATACGTTTACTCGGCCTCGTCAAGAAATTCCATGATTCGCAATTTGAATCACATTTGGAGAGTAACAGTACAACGTTCAATCGCTTCAAGCATTTTAATCGTAATAATAGCTAGAGCAAGCTTTGAAAGAAACCAAAACAAGGTACCTTAATATGCAAAACACCTTACCTGAACGGGCTGAAACGTAGAACCATCTTTCCCTATAATTTATGAATAACGATGCGGGCTTTGTGAATTTGAAAGACGTCTGTGCTTATGTGCTACCTCCTTCCACCAGAGTAGTTAGTTTTCATATGAACTAGTCTTTTTCTTACAGCTCAATTTTAAGCCCATCAAATGCAAAACGCTTTGATGGACGCGTGACGTCATCAGTGCCAAATTTAGCAGGCATTTGTTGTTTTCATTGTCACATTGTGAGCGATTGGGTGTTCTCTTGTTTTTCCTAAAGTGTCTTCTACAAACACGTCTGCCGCGTCATCTGGTGTTTGCATGTTTTCTAGCTTAATTCGTCCTCGAAAAATTCCGGTAATGTTTCAAGTGCTAAATAAAACTTAGCGTTATTCCTGATTCGGCGAGAAAGAAATCACAGCAAGGTTTTTGTTTTGTGACTATGCCGGAGAGAAAGCAGACCAAAGAGTTTGACAGAAAAAGACAGATACGAAATTCATATCTGATTTAAGATTACGTTTCTGTTATTAGTTTTATAAATGATATTTTTTAATTTTACTACAGTAACTTAAGATTTGTCAAATTGAAGAGAAAAAGTACTGTCGATGGGTTTAAGACACGATCATTTATAACTGAGAAGGTTTTATGTCAGTGGAAACTACGGATGTTTTCGGAGTGGAAATCAATCTAGTTTCTTATCAGAACAACCGCGTACGTGTTTCAGCTGGGGATACATAGATTTTAAGACAAACCGCCTTGGAAAGTTGTTCCGCTGCAAACAAACTAAAATTATTCATTTAATCATTGATGCCACATTTGCAATTATATGGATTTGGGATTTTACATTACCTTAAATTTGATGAAATTTTCATACTGCTTCAAGACATGTTTTTCAGCAAGAGCAATTTAGGTATAAACGCCGTTTTGGCGTCGCAGAACTAATTTGTTTGTTTTTCACGATCAAACGAACACAAAGAAATTCAGCGGGAGCCAGTATTAAATTTGTGTCAGTCGTTTCAACTTTAAGTTCGTTCAGAAATATTCAACATTGAAACCCATAAAATGTTTTTTTTCCTAACGGCCGTGCTGAATTTTTCCTTTAATAGAGCGAAATGATTTCTAAAGGGTCTTTAAATATTGAAGTATTTGATAATGCAATCTTACAATGAGTCAAAATTATATTATATCTGACCAATGTTTGCAAATATTCCTGCATGATTTGTGCTTAGAGACAAATTTTAGCAGTGCATGCAGTGAAGCACTTTCCAGCTCGAAACCCTCTTTTAGCATCACTAAATATTGCCCAGTATTTTTTCCCAGTCTCTAAGTTTACACTCTGTGAATATTCTAAAGTAAAATTTTAATAAAATGATTGATTGACAGATAATTCCTGAAGCCATCCTGTAAATATTTTAGATGGCGGTCTGACAGCTGACTCGCCTTCACTTTCTTGGTTTTATATTTATACTCAGGTTCGTACACGGCAAGGTTTTGGAGGAAATTCTAAAGACTCGTCTCTTTTTGCGTAACCTTTCCGTTGGTTAAGTTTATAGTGTCATCGTGGCGTTCCCTGAGGGAAGTTATTTTTACAACATTTTAAAACTTCCCAAGCCGAAAAACAGGAACTCAAGAGCATTTTGTAATCAGTTTAAAACACTTGAAGGCCGACCAGTCATAAAATAGTTAAATTGAAAATAAATCCATGATGGATTTTTCGTTATTTTTGGAAGTGAAACATAATTCCCATTAACAGATGTCTAACTTGTCTTTCGTGATGCGGAAAAACAGCGATAACATTAACAAACTCATAAATTTGAAGTGTCTGCCTCGAGAAGGACTTTGCATGCACACACACACACACACACACACACACACACACANGCGAGAATTAATTTTAGTCTTGTATTTTTTCGGTGAGGTTTTTACTTTATATTGTTTATACTTCAGTATTGAACTTGTATAATCTCAAACTACACAAAACATAAAAAGTGAAAACATTTTTATAGAAGAAAAATCGATACTTCCGTCAATGTTTAATACTGGGTTAGCGTTACCGAATCGAATCGAACAACCTGGCCGACCCCTGGTTGATAGTTTTTAGTTGCAAAGAAAAGATAAGAACACTCTGCATTTTACTAAACAATCTATAGTTTATTTTTTTGGAACAGCACGGAAGGTTTGAATGCATCTTACAAATTGCATGCCTTGTTCTCTAAAAGTCTCGAATTCACTGAGCAAACGTAATCAAAGCGCCAACCCAGTGTACTGAGAGAGAATGGAGCTTAGTATCCCCAATCCCATTTTCAAACGTTTTAGTGCTTACCGTAAACGGCGCAGAGAGCTGGGGCGAGAATTGAGGACAGAGCAGGTTTAAGGGCTCTCTCCTGCCAGTCTGATCTCTTGAAAATATCTTCCAAAGTGTCCAGTTCAAACTGGGCCCAGTCGGCAAATGACCAGCTAGGGAACCTGTGATTAAAGAAAATTGAAAATATATTTATTAGCTCAGGAAGGTAATATTTGAAAAAGCGTGTCTGACATTTAAGAGGCAAGAAAATCAGCTGAGAAGATAGAACGATCCCACGTTCACCTCAGTTGAACAGATGTAACTATTTTAAGAAAGTTTGACCAATGCAAGCGTAAATTAAGGCTATTGCGAAACAGTCGAAAGATATTCTTGGAAAAAGGGTTAGTTAACAGCTGTTTGATCGAAATGTGCAGTGCAGTGTTTCAGCGTGGGGGAAGAGTGGATTAAGCCTGAATGTGTATTCATAGTCTTCTTTTTCCTCTTTCACGCTGGAAAAAAAAGCTGTATGTCAAAATTGTTTGGCGGCGTCGCCGTTATTTACGTCTTGTTTGCTAAAATCGTCTTCGATGCCATTGACGACTGCAGCTGCAAACCTTTATAGCATTTTATATGGCATTTTATTCAATGCACAGTGCATTTATTTTGATCAATGCAGTAAAGAAAGGGAAAAACTCAGTGAAACTCGAGTCAGTTCTTTTAAGCAGTGAAATCATAAAACCATGATGGGTTCGCCAGAGATAAACTAAAACAAGGTGGAATTGAGAAAACGATAAAGTGCTTTTTTTACACACGTTGTTATCAAAAAGGAAGCAGCACTTAAAAGTATACTTAGTCCCCGATAGATTTAAGCAATAATTTAGCAAGAAAACGGCGAGTAAACAGAATGAACAGCATGCTAGCGTTTTTCATTTATGTTATAACGCGATGCTGATCGCTAATTACATTTCCCGCGATAATTGCTAATTCCTAGTGCTGCTGTCTTTTCTGCAAAGGAAACAAAGTGAAAATCCAGTGAATCGTGATAGTTCTATTACGCTGTTAAATTGAGCTGGCGTCATCGTGGCAGATGCGTATTATAATAAGAAGGCTAAGGAAACCATTACAGAATGGAACGGAAAAAGACTCAAATTTATAATTCGATTCAGATCGCTATTGCTTCATGACACAAAAGAGCTTTGTGTCTTTTGTCACGATACCGGCAGAATCAAACGCGCTGAGAGCAGCTAATAGTTGGTAAACATTGTGACGTCAGGCGCAATGAATAACGAGAGAAAAAACGTATTGAACAACAAACGAATTCAAATTATGGAGCTTAGCACCTATACAAACAGTATTGCGCGAAAATATGATCGAACTCGTAACTGCTCATTTCATCATCGTCAAGTGGGGTCAGTTTTTCTCGATGACAAAGTATTACACGAGTAACTCAAATCAGCTTTACATCGTCGAATTATGTTAGTTCTAGCAACAAAAAAAGGAGACGGTTAATACGATCTCTTGTTGCACGTAGGCACATGAGAATCAACAATATCTACGATTGACGTCACAACGTGCGTCACGTCGTCAAATGAAACAACACCGAGTTTTAATCGATGACTTTTCGTTCAATCGTGTTTAAGGGTCAGTTTGATTAATAATTCGAAATGTCAAATACAATTTAACGCTGAATTATTGATGTTTTCCTGTAAGAGAACACGTATTTTACCCTGACTAGTGAGGTTTTTCTTTAATATTTGATTCCAGTTACTGTTTGATGCGTGGGTTATTCTCTACAAAAGACTCTTGAAAATGTATTCTATTTTTAAACGGTCTAGGAATTCATCCACAGGTCAAATTGTCGTGTCTGTTTTTTTCATTAAAAACTGAAACGGCATCGTCATTTTCGATGCAAATTTTTTTTAATAATGATATTAAATATTTGCGTACGAAAACCGGCCGGCAACTGAGTGAGAAACATTTTTAAGGGAACGAAATGTGGCAACATTTCTCATGGAATAAAACTAGTTGAACTAAAAACATCGCTGAATTTTAATTGAAGAAGACTACAAACACGCGGTTTCCAGAATGCAGACAGAGGACGGAAGCATATTCTCTCCGAGATAAAATGAAATATCATTATGAATAGGACCTCCGGTTTTCTGCCTTGTGAACTTTTGTGGTAATCAAGGCCGGCCTTTTTAAAACATGGCAATATATTCACAACAAATTATATTTTTATAAACTCTTTGCACCGCGAGTGCTGTCGCAGCTCGATGGATCTCTTTGTGTTGAATTATCTGGGAAAACAATTTTTACGAAATATTTTGTTTCCGGATACGTTTACTCGGCCTCGTCAAGAAATTCCATGATTCGCAATTTGAATCACATTTGGAGAGTAACAGTACAACGTTCAATCGCTTCAAGCATTTTAATCGTAATAATAGCTAGAGCAAGCTTTGAAAGAAACCAAAACAAGGTACCTTAATATGCAAAACACCTTACCTGAACGGGCTAAAACGTAGAACCATCTTTCCCTATAATTTATGAATAACGATGCGGGCTTTGTGAATTTGAAAGACGTCTGTGCTTATGTGCTACCTCCTTCCACCAGAGTAGTTAGTTTTCATATGAACTAGTCTTTTTCTTACAGCTCAATTTTAAGCCCATCAAATGCAAAACGCTTTGATGGACGCGTGACGTCATCAGTGCCAAATTTAGCAGGCATTTGTTGTTTTCATTGTCACATTGTGAGCGATTGGGTGTTCTCTTGTTTTTCCTAAAGTGTCTTCTACAAACACGTCTGCCGCGTCATCTGGTGTTTGCATGTTTTCTAGCTTAATTCGTCCTCGAAAAATTCCGGTAATGTTTCAAGTGCTAAATAAAACTTAGCGTTATTCCTGATTCGGCGAGAAAGAAATCACAGCAAGGTTTTTGTTTTGTGACTATGCCGGAGAGAAAGCAGACCAAAGAGTTTGACAGAAAAAGACAGATACGAAATTCATATCTGATTTAAGATTACGTTTCTGTTATTAGTTTTATAAATGATATTTTTTAATTTTACTACAGTAACTTAAGATTTGTCAAATTGAAGAGAAAAAGTACTGTCGATGGGTTTAAGACACGATCATTTATAACTGAGAAGGTTTTATGTCAGTGGAAACTACGGATGTTTTCGGAGTGGAAATCAATCTAGTTTCTTATCAGAACAACCGCGTACGTGTTTCAGCTGGGGATACATAGATTTTAAGACAAACCGCCTTGGAAAGTTGTTCCGCTGCAAACAAACTAAAATTATTCATTTAATCATTGATGCCACATTTGCAATTATATGGATTTGGGATTTTACATTACCTTAAATTTGATGAAATTTTCATACTGCTTCAAGACATGTTTTTCAGCAAGAGCAATTTAGGTATAAACGCCGTTTTGGCGTCGCAGAACTAATTTGTTTGTTTTTCACGATCAAACGAACACAAAGAAATTCAGCGGGAGCCAGTATTAAATTTGTGTCAGTCGTTTCAACTTTAAGTTCGTTCAGAAATATTCAACATTGAAACCCATAAAACGTTTTTTTTCCTAACGGCCGTGCTGAATTTTTCCTTTAATAGAGCGAAATGATTTCTAAAGGGTCTTTAAATATTGAAGTATTTGATAACGCGATCTTACAATGAGTCAAAATTATATTATATCTGACCAATGTTTGCAAATATTCCTGCATGATTTGTGCTTAGAGACAAATTTTAGCAGTGCATGCAGTGAAGCACTTTCCAGCTCGAAACCCTCTTTTAGCATCACTAAATATTGCCCAGTATTTTTTCCCAGTCTCTAAGTTTACACTCTGTGAATATTCTAAAGTAAAATTTTAATAAAATGATTGATTGACAGATAATTCCTGAAGCCATCCTGTAAATATTTTAGATGGCGGTCTGACAGCTGACTCGCCTTCACTTTCTTGGTTTTATATTTATACTCAGGTTCGTACACGGCAAGGTTTTGGAGGAAATTCTAAAGACTCGTCTCTTTTTGCGTAACCTTTCCGTTGGTTAAGTTTATAGTGTCATCGTGGCGTTCCCTGAGGGAAGTTATTTTTACAACATTTTAAAACTTCCCAAGCCGAAAAACAGGAACTCAAGAGCATTTTGTAATCAGTTTAAAACACTTGAAGGCCGACCAGTCATAAAATAGTTAAATTGAAAATAAATCCATGATGGATTTTTCGTTATTTTTGGAAGTGAAACATAATTCCCATAAACAGATGTCTAACTTGTCTTTCGTGATGCGGAAAAACAGCGATAACATTAACAAACTCATAAATTTGAAGTGTCTGCCTCGAGAAGGACTTTGCATGCACACACACACACACACAAACACACACACACACACACACACATACAAAAAGCATGTATTTAATGCTGGAAATTTTGGAGAACAACTTCTAACGACAAATGTTTATGTCGTTGCATCATCCATTTAAGAGAGAGAATTTATAGTTTTTAGCCGTGTGGAAAATTGACCTTCTAATCCGCCATTAATACAAGGACTTCCTTGTTAAAGTCACGTGACAGGGGAATACTTCATAACTAACACATATCACCTTGACAACTTTGTTCAGTTATTCACAACCCTTGACCGCATTTCTTTTTCTTTTAATTTCCTAAGAAAATTTTTGCGCCAAATTAGAAAACCTCTAAAGTTGCAGTCAAATTGAAGGGAAAATATTAAGATTAAAACGCAGATCACTAAATACAGATTTGAGATGATTTAGAACCGGAAAAATTTAGACTATTCATAAACTACCTTAAGCCAATTTTTACATCACGACTACGGCTGATCATCTTGCGTGGGATAAAAGCCAAACGTAAAGTGCAAATGTAGCCCGAGGACGTAATAACACCCAAAAGAGGCGTTACGTTTCTCTAATGTTACAAGAGTACAACTTATAAAGCGGATATAAGTATGTTGTCTTATTTCTTAA